CTCAATCATCTGTGCTACGATGATAGTCCCTTTGATGGTATGGGAGAGTATGTGAAAGATGCCGACATGAACCGAAGTGACATGTCGGGGGAGGTCCGGTTCCGGAACGGTGAGGGAGGAAGCCGATGCCGGCTCACGACAGATGGTTGGGGGTTGGCTACTTTGACCTTGTGGGCCATTTGTGCTTTCCCGCGCCAATTCGCACCTGCGCGCTTCGCTGGTACGCCTGCGGTCAGTAATAGAGTGTTCAGTTGTTACGTCATTATGGTGCCGCATTTTTGCACTTATTGTAATAGGTAACAAACACACGAATATTACCTCCGAATAAAAATAATCTAGCCTGGAGAGCAAGCAGCACTATTCACATAATAAAAGCGAATCTGGATGGCCGCCAGTTTAATGGGACAAAAACAAGCTCAATCATGGCATTTTGCGCTGCCCTTTACTAGTGAGATATAATTGGTTGTCAATACAACCGAATTAGAATCACAATAAATATTCAATACCATAACGTAATTTCTTGTTTTCATATCTTTTCTTTAAAATAGTCTTTTCTTGAAACCCAAAAGAATCAAAAGGCACACCAAACGCATGGCCAACCAATCAAAACAGAATCAGAAACGTATGACACAATGGGAGGCACCTCTTCCCGGGATAGGCATAACAAGTCTCCTTAGAATGAAGAATTCATAGATTGACCGAGTCAAAACTTTGTTTCTTATATTGAACTAATATTTCACAAATAGTAGCTAAATTATAAATAATTTGTTGACGGATTATTCCTTAAAAACAATTAGCTACCTAGCACAAAATAAAAAGAGGGCACGAATAATCAACCAGTCGATCCTTTCGACCTGTTTCTCGCCTTTTTGCGCGCTGATTTTTTCAACGGTAACTGTCAATAAATTTTCTCATCAATTACACAATTTCCGCTCAAAATAATAATAAAGCTGGTCATGAATCATCAAAGCAAGAGAGAGTGAGTGTGAGTGTGATACCAATTCGACTTACTATTACCTGAAATAAAAAAAATTAATTTTTTAAATGAAAAAAACGCCTTTATTAACGAACTTATGATATTAAGGATTCATGACTACTGTTTAATTTCCTGTACATTACAAATTAACGAGTATTCATGGTTGAATAAAAACACTGAAAAACTATATTTATTATATATTATAATGGCAGTAAATAATCCACAAATAACGTAAATAATACCGCTCCAAATAGGTGCTATTAGTTTTTTCCCATCCTTTCCATGACCTCTGGATTTTCCCGCCGGCGCAACAACATGCAGTTCGGGAAACCCGGGAAAGATTTGCTATGCCTAGTGACACTATACGAGAACACACTGGACATGTGAAAATGCCAGGATTGGAATACTATTAAATACCGATGTTAGTATCTTTTATTATATATCTATGTCAATAATTATTACAAAATAATAAAACATAATAATTTACTGTTCGATTAACATATTAACAAATTGTTTTAATTTTCGTCATAATTATTCATTATTTCGAAAACATCTCTCTCTCCCCTAGTTTGATTCTGGGGCCCATCCTTGGAAGTGCCGCCACCCGGTCTACTCTGACGATGCGCAAACTGCGGGAGGCCCGATTGCTGCCGCCTCATTTTGCAGCCAGGGTATCCTACTCGGCGCGCCCCGCCCCCGCCCCCGCCTCACCCCGCCCCCGCCTGCTCGCCGGCATCCCGTCGCCCGCCCGCGCCCACCCGCTCGCACTTAATTAATGGCTGCCTTTTATGGACGCGTTCACAAAAAATTGCGGCAGCGTTCGCTTGTCTTCGTCCACTCGGAGCTGCCAGGGGGAGCGACAGCTGCTGGAGTGGGTTCCATTGTACGGGTCAGCCGCTTGAAAGGGATTCTGTTCGCTGTGTGTGAATGAAACCATGCACCTGCATTATGCTACCTGGAATATCGTTTGAGGAGTAAAATAATGAGGCCAGTATCAATGCGTGCCACGTCAAAGAAATGGTGGCTTAACGTATTGATATAAAGTGTAAGAGGAGTTTGTGAAAGGAGTTTTGGGAGATATAAACATTCCAAATGTACGATTTTTTCGAAATATCTTAACTTTCGTACACAAATATAAATTAATGAGAAATTATTTTCTCGAAAAAGGAGAATGAATGTCATTAATGAAGTGTTCGGCTGTAGTAAGTCAATTAAAATAAATTAAAAACTGACGGACTTATTGATATACATGTGTAATTATTGATGTAATGAAACAACACGTAATTGTATTTCATATATTATTGATTAGTGTTTCATTGCCGTGTTATTAAACCATTTACTACAAAAATACTTTATTACAGAATTTACGTTAATTAAACATTTTATTTTCCAACGCATTACAATTCATTTACATTGCATTCAATAATTAGAAAATCAAACAAAAAAATCTGCATTAAACAAATAGATTTTTAAGATCTTTAAACGAAACATCGATGGGGTTTTATAGTTAGAATTTTGCAGTTCTTACTACAATATAACAATTTTTATAATTATTTTATATTGTTTATTCTCCACAAAGGGAGATTGGGATGAAAATAACGTTTATCCATAAAATAAATTCTAAAATATTTCAACTTACCCACTCTCAAAAATGAGAATGTGGTTCGTAATGTTTTTTGTTGTGAGAATGACGTCAATGGGCTCTAGGCTATGAAGGAGACGCCGCGGCGAGCCGTGCTCTGTAGACATGGGGACAACGTTTTGCTCGCCATTCGTTTTGGACGACGTGATTCAGAGCGCCATGCATATTGCCCTGAAGAAGGTCACAGAATGACGACCAAAAACTTCGGCAGCCATGCCTTTGAAGCGGGCATCTCCCAGACAGTCAAGTAGCGACAATTTTATTGCTTTGCATTTTGAATAATCAAAGAATCAAATATACACTTTTTTGGACACCAGCATTTTAAACGACCTTTACAGTTGCAAGAAACTGTTCATAAAAGGGCATTTTACGGCACGAATTATTGCGTCATCACACATTCAGCCAATCACAGCGAGAAAATCTTACGGAGATAGTCGTGAACGGTTAGCTCTACAGTTTTCTCGACAGATAGATGATCAAATACCGGATACGTCACCAGAAAGTTGTTTCGCAAAATTAAGTTTGATTCTCTTATAAATTTATAATGCTGTTATAAAAAAATAAAAAAATAAAATAATAATAAAAAAAAGCGCATACAACTCATTTATAATATTGCTTAAACGCATTCGTACAAATTCGAAAACTCGCTTCTAATGTCGCTCGTTTTCAAAAAGCGTTCCCACGCGATAAAGCTTAACATTATAAACTATTTGCATACCCCACTATTATTGCTTTTCGTCCAGAAGAGAAAGCGTTAAAAGGGCGCGTGGCAGCGCACTCACCTGAGTCCTGCTGGCGCGCGTAGCCGGCGATGTCGATGGGGTTGCCGTTGATGACGAGGTCGCGCATGCAGCCCACGAAGCCGTAGCGCAGCACGCCCGACCACACCACGGGCGGCACGGTGACCGGCGCCGTGGGCGGCCCCAGCCCGCCCAGGTACAGCGGGCCCTCCAGGTCCAGCTGGTGCGAGTCGCCTGCGCAACAAACTCCGACGTTAGGCTTCTTTCGCAATGCAAACGTAAACATAACGTACACGCAAAACCTGGAAATGAGTTATTAAGCGACGCCATTCACAATACCTTGACGTAGACGCAAAGCCGCGTACCAACCGTAGACGCAAAGCTATGAACTTAAGGAGTTCACAAGCACCAAACTTTTACGTTACGTTAAGTTTACGTCGGAATTATACCGACGACGAATCAGAGAGCAGCATGGAAGAAATTAACATGGATTGTGTCCAGGTAATTTGTGGTTATGCCATTTCATTTCTGTTATGAAGTGAACTAGTTTGCGCGAGTAGTGAGTTCAAAATAAGAATTTGGGTCATTTTTCTTGTGACTAACTTGATGTGACTTAAACTTGACGAAAGATCTTTCCATCAATCTAGAAACGAATTTATACGTTCAAATCGTTGAAACCTGATTGGTTTCAATACGTTGAAATATGATTGGTTCATACGAAACTTACGTTCTTCGTTGCGAATGCTTGTTTTTACTTGTAAATTTTACTGCTACGGCATTACGTTACGTTTAAGTTTGCATTGTGAATGAGGCCTTAGAGTGGCTCAGACACCGGCAAGCACGGCTCACGCCGCTGCTGCTCAGGGGCGCCTTGAGACAAACAAGAGGCCTGCGACAGTATATTGACGGAGGTCCCCTTCATACAAATGTTCCGCGCCTCCCACTCCAACAACAGAATTCTTTTCTCCATGCAACAGCATGCATGAAATAATTTGTAGCGATTGGTTTGAATTAGAAGTAAATACATGTTTTCATTTGTTTTGATTAGAAAAATCGGTGCTGCAAATAAGTTGGGATCTGGAGCAAGTTTCCTTCACTGCCCGTCTTCTGGACACCCCAGTCGCTGTCAGGAAGCGTTGATAGATGTACATGATAATGAGTAGCGCGAAAGCTGTTCGCAAGCCTCAGACTTAGGTTCATTCAAAATATTGTGCTTGAATGTGTATTGATTTCGGGAGCGCCAACTTTAGTCTATCGTCCCGTGAGTGTAGTGCAAGTTATATCCAGGAAGGTGGCAGTGCTCCTTCCACCTGGAATATGGGACCTGCATGTCGACTTGCGAGGTTTCTCCCATTTAGATATCTCCACCAGCCGGGCACTGTCCCAGCTGGGGCAAGCACTAATCTTCCGTCGGATGTCTCGACATGTGTAGAAATGGAAGGCAAATAAGTTTACGTAAGTGTGTAAGAAGAAAGGTAGTGTCAAGAATGAGGAAAAATAGATTGTGCGTCCGTGTGCGTGTTTTTCTCCGGCATTCATCTGGTGATGATCAGTAAAATCACGTAAAACTACTGATCAGTCTTTGAAAAACTACTGAGCAGTCAGCCTTTTCCAGTTTGCATTTGAACCAGCTATCTATTTTATATCTAATGTCAAATATCCGTCACCGTTGGGATTCGCAACGTAGATCTTCGAAGCCAATGATGCTGTGGGCTGTCGAGGCAGCGGTGTTGTCGCTGAGCTGTCGCATTCAGTTCAATAGAAGATAGCTTTTGCACATCGTGAAACTAGAAACATGTTAGCAAAATTACAAATTTAATGGATTCGGTGGAAAGCAATACTCAGGTGATTACCTCGCTGGAGCAACAAACTACGTGACTTGTCACTTTAACTTAATGATGGAAAGAGGATCACGTTACACGCAGTTTTTAACACGTCACAGACAGTTTTAAACTGTTTTGATGTAAATAAATAAATAAATAAATAAATAAATAAATAAATAAATAAATAAATAAATAAACTGCCTAGAATCGAAGAGTTACAAGGAAAGTGGCAGAAGAATGAAGCAGAAACGCAGGAGGAGAACGACAAGAAGCTGAAGGAGTTAAAAGAAAGGATGAGTGAATAGGCATAGATAATATGACAGGGTCCAAGACCAATCGGCAATTGGCGAATTCCCGAAGGGCTCCCTTTCGAAAGGCATCGCGTTACTCCCTACTCCTTCGTGAAAACTGTAGACATTTTTGTTCTGCATAGAGTCCCAGACAGCGTAAAGTTAAAGCTGTAAATCAAAACCGAGGATAGGTATGAGTCTAAACGATAACCTTAAACGTATGAAACGTGAGTGTACGCTAAGCCGGCAGCTGTGCTCGTGCGCGCGAAATCCAACGTCACGTTATGGAAATAACGGAGTACGACATTTCTCGTGATTTATCGGGTGCTTCGATAAACGTCAAGATGAAGGAAGTTGCTCCAAATGGTACGGGAGAGTGTGCAACTCTCGCTGATCTAGTTGAAAGTAAACAATTGGGAAAAGAAAAAGAGACCCAGAGAATTGATGTGACAATTTAGCGATAACAGTACATTCTGCCAAAAAATCTTTGTGTAAAACGCCGCAGCACATGAAACATTAAATGGTCACATTATTGACATTTTGCATTTATTAGAGGTATCTAAGTTTTGCTATGCAAAATCTTTTTAATGAAAGAGTTATCATGAAAGCGGTGACAATATGAATGCATTAGTTGTAATGAGTCAATAAACAAAAGCAAGAATGTGAAGACAGACTTGCCATATTAATCTATAATATAGAAATATATAATATGGTAATCTACAAAAAAGGATAGAATTTATATTAATCTATCATTGTGGAAATAACTTGACACTCAACCTTTATATATAGTCACACGAGAATAAATGAAATGGCTGAGATAGTGACAAAGAATCACAAAGATCGCTTATACCACGGATACAATGGGTGATTCTATAAAGAATTTCACAAGAAATTACGATGAATAGTTGTTTTTCTGCAGCAGTTAATGGATTTGGTAATGGACGAGTAAAGGTAAAGGAATAATGGGACGTGTGTGATCTGCCATTGTCGTTCACTCCCCAGGATGAAAATACTTCTTTACATGGGACATACTCTTAAAGCCCTCCGTCGTGGTGTGTAATACTTAGTGTTTAAATTTTACTAACTGTCAGGTTGTTTAGAATGAATTTAGTTTGTGAAGAAGTAACGTAGTCTTTGATTGCAATTGGATTTGCAACAATGCTTTAAGTAAATATTAAATATAAACCGTTCTCCGCCTATTGCAATCGTAAGGTCGATTGGAAAATCCAACCGCCGCTTCTTATTTCCTGTAGATCTAGTTGTAGAAAACACATGCAAATTGAAAATAACTAAGATTACCAACCCTTCACCGAAAGAAGTAGAAAAAGACGCTTAAGACGGAACAGAATGACAAGAAGAAGGCAATTCAGAGAAAGAAAATAAACGAGGAAGGAAAATAGGACAAGAAGAGGAAATGAAAGGTGATGAGAAGAATAAGGTTAGAGAAGAAGAAGAAGCTAAAAAAAATAAGAGGAAAAAGACGAAAGTTTATACTGTTTACTAAATTTTCTCGTGGAAAAGCTTGACGCGAAGTCTTAATTCCACCATTGTTGAAGCACGTCTCGGTTTAATACTGCACCGCGGTCTTCATTAATCAAAGGAAGCAGTGTTTTACGATGCCTGGGTGGTGTGAGCAGACGGGAGTAATGAACTGTAGCGGCGGCGTTGTGGCGAGCAGCAGATGGAAATCCTGCAAATGTGTCGGCACGCGAAGATTACAACAATTTTTGTTTTTTTGTGTAAGTGGGGGGATTCCGTTGCGTTGTAATCTGTTTGCAACGCGTAGGAGGAGGTTAATTAATATTCCTTGGTACCTTACACTACCCATACCCAGAGGAGATGACCCTTCTGTGTCGCAACGGTAACTGTGCTTAGCAGAAATAGAAAATAAACGAATGGTTAACATTTGTGATTACATGCATTCAATTGAGGACATTGAGATGGAATTTTATAGATTTCGTATGTATATTTTGGCGATTCATCTACATCAGTGAAAGGAATCCCTTTATTTCGATTTTTTAAAAATGTTTGACATCAAAGTAAAGTATTTATATTTCATTTCTAATAAAGTTATTCAACTTTCCGTAAATAACAATTACATAAATAACAATTTTGACGAATGACACATGTGAAGCAATCAAGCTGATGAGCAACCCAATCTAAATAACAACAATTCGTACTTTTATTTTTTTTAAAGCAGTTGCATCAGCAGTGTACTGCAATTTAAGATCCCAAGCTCACCGGAATTTCTGAACGGAATCGGTGGTATTGACCTGCGAGCAATTGTTGGCATTTACGGCCGAGTAAGGATTGGTCCACGGCGATTACGGGTCGCGGGGTAAATTCCGAGTAAGTAGTCGGAGCCGTTTCCTCGCGTTTGCGGTAATGCGATTCCGGATTGCTCTGCCGCAGCGGCGGTGGCGCGGCGGTGCGTTGGCGGAGCGAAACAATGGCCGCCGTCTGTTGTCCTTAGTAAGCCTTATTGGCGCGGCCTTGCGGAATCATACAAATCCTGTGCGATTGGAGACGTCGACGATAACGGCACGATTTTAATACGATTTTCTACCAGCAACCGAATTTTAATCCATTTTCTTGGCTTAATTTCCAAGTTATCCGAGTTTGAATACGTTAAACTATTTTTACACGCTTTTATTTAACTTGCTTTGTGTATGTACAGACCGCTGGTATGCCTAAATCGTTAATTGTGAACAATATCTCTGCCGATTCGAATAAAGTAATATAGAGCTCTAAATGCATCAATTTAATGACTAAGTTGAAACGTTTTCTGCTAATGAAGCACTCCAAGCTAAAGCAGTAATTCGTACAACAAGATCGGCAAGCAGAATTTAGAAAGCCAGTAGCAGAACTTTCAGCTGTAACATGCGGAAGGAGTAACTGTCGTAGCTTTTGCGCTTACTAGTGTACTACGAAAATCTTTCAATATCAATTTAATTTTTATAAATCAGCCTATGAGAATGTATCTAACTTTGATGACAATACATGATTTTGTGTTTTTACCAAGCACGTGCACCTATCTCTTTTAGTCAAGTCCTTCCTATTGAAATCTTGTAAACCACAATTACGTAAAAATCCCAAAACTACAATTTTAATTTATGTTTAT